TGTGTTTGTCATGACCTTTTACAGTACGGAGTACCTGATGATCATGACCTCTAGATCTACGTGTTGTGTTTGTCATGACCTTTTACAGTACGGAGTACCTGATGATCATGACCTCTAGATCTACGTGTTGTGTTTGTCATGACCTTTTACAGTACGGAGTACCTGATGATCATGACCTCTAGATCTACGTGTTGTGTTTGTCATGACCTTTTACAGGACGGAGTACCTGATGATCATGACCTCTAGATCTACGTGATGTGTTTGTCATGACCTTTTACAGTACGGAGTACCTGATGATCATGACCTCTAGATCTACGTGTTGTGTTTGTCATGACCTTTTACAGTACGGAGTACCTGATGATCATGACCTCTAGATCTACGTGTTGTGTTTGTCATGACCTTTTACCCCTTAGTTACTTTTGTTTATCCATTTTTTGTTTACCTACCTTTGATGTAATTCAGAGAGTCCAATATCACAACATCTTCTTTGCCGATGTGTCTGGAAAGAAATTATGTTAAACATTTGTTTGGCCTTAATTGGAAAATTAATTACAATCACACAAAGACAGTTGTCCATGTTTATACCATTCACCAGAGCAGTGTAGTCACTGTAATCAAGCTACCTTAACTAATTCTCAGCAAAAGAGGCTGGATTGTTACAGGGCTGGACAGAAAAGATCCTAAATGTCCCTAAAACATTGGCTGTATTAAGTGGGAAAGCAGCTGTGGTCAGAAAGTGGGACAATAGGATTACATCCTCGATACTGCAGGGGTTACGCTCACTTTTCCCTCTCTGCACCACTGGAATTTGTCATAGCAAAATTGAAAGCACGTGACTAGCTAAGTGATTGATCTCAGGTAAAAAACACAACTGACCAATCGCTAGGCTGATTCCTGTCCTTTAAAGATTACAGAGGAGTGACACCTGACTTCAAAGCCGGCCAACTTTACCGTCACGCGATCGACATATTCTTTTGATGTACATCATTTTTGGAGGCACAGTAGTCTAGTGGTCGGACGCTGGGCTCGTGACCGAAGGGTTGCAGGTTCGAGTCACAACACGGCAATGTGTTGTATCTTTGAGCAAGGTACTTTATTCCGCTTGTTCCAGTCTACTTTGTGAACCGCTCCGAGATGACCTACGAACTAGGTTGTGATAAAGCAGTATAAAAGAACCTCAAATTATTATGATTATTAAAGGATCAAACTAGTCTTCTTGTCTCATTCTCAAGGTGGTGCACACTGAACCTTCGATTTTGCTATGACATATATTCTAGGGGTGCAGAGAGCGAAAGTGAGCATAATTCCAGGAGTATCGAGGATGAGAGGATTAGCAATGGCTAGATAGTTAAACAACAAGATAGGATAGTGTGACAAATTGATTAGCCCCGGCCACTTCTCCTATATATCCTAAGTACAACAGGGCTGACAGAAAATAGTGTGACATATTGTCTCAATTTATCCGAGAAGTAATAAATAGTTTTAGCTGCACAGTGCAGGCTTGTCAGTACTAGCTGAGCTGTATAGGGGGTTATGCTGTGTGATCAGCTGAGCTGTATAGGTGATATTGCTGTGTGATCAGCTGAGCTGTGTAGGGGATATTGCTGTGTGATTAGCTGAGCTGTATAGGGGGTCATGCTGTGTGATGAGCTGAGCTGTATAGGGGGGTCATGCTGTGTGATCAGATGAGCTGTATAGGGGGTCATGCTGTGTGATGAGCTGAGCTGTATAGGGGGGTCATGCTGTGTGATCAGCTGAGCTGGATAGGGGGGCCATGCTGTGTGATCAGCTGAGCTGTATAGGGGGTCCTGCTGTGTGATCAGCTGAGCTGTATAGGGGATACTGCTGTGTGATCAGCTGAGCTGTGTAGGGGATATTGCTGTGTGATTAGCTGAGCTGTATAGGGGGTCATGCTGTGTGAGCAGCTGAGCTGTGTAGGGGGTCATGCTGTGTGATCAGATGAGCTGTATAGGGGGTCATGCTGTGTGATTAGCTGAGCTGTATAGGGGGTCATGCTGTGTGATTAGCTGAGCTGTATAGGGGGTCATGCTGTGTGAGCAGCTGAGCTGTGTAGGGGGTCATGCTGTGTGATCAGATGAGCTGTATAGGGGGGCATGCTGTGTGATCAGGTGGGGTGTGTAGGGGGGTCATGTTGTGTGATCAGCTGAGCTGTGTAGGGGATATTGCTGTGTGCTCAGCTGAGCTGTATAGGGGGTCATGCTGAGTGATCAGCTGAGCTGTATAGGGGGTCATGCCGTGTGATCAGCTGAGCTGTATAGGGGGTATTGCTGTGTGATGAGCTGAGCTGTATAGGGGGGTCATGCTGTGTGATCAGCTGAGCTGGATAGGGGGGCCATGCTGTGGGATCAGCTGAGCTGTATAGGGGGGCCATGCCGTGTGATCAGCTGAGCTGTATAGGGGGTCCTGCTGTGTGATCAGCTGAGCTGTATAGGGAGGTCATGCTGTGTGATCAGCTGAGCTGTATAGGTGATATTGCTGTGTGATCAGCTGAGCTGTGTAGGGGATATTGCTGTGTGATCAGCTGAGCTGTATAGGGGGGCCATGCTGTGTGATCAGCTGAGCTGTATAGGGGGTATTGCTGTGTGATCAGCTGAGCTGTATAGGGGGGTCATGCTGTGTGATCAGCTGAGCTGTATAGGGGATATTGCTGTGTGATCAGCTGAGCTGTGTAGGGGATATTGCTGTGTGATCAGCTCCCTCTGGCTGAAGGGCAAAGGGTTGATCAGTAGTGGGATACCCCTACTGGGACCATTATAATAATAAGTTGAACCTCAGCTGATAAAGTGTAGATTTGATTTGTTTTTGTTGAACATTTTTAACATACTATTTCTATGTAACCTCAATCTTTTATACAAGAATAGACAATTAATAACACAAAGCATTCAGTGTTGTTTATGGAACTGTTTTGATTATTTAAATCAAGTAAGTAGTATTGACACCCTGTGAGAGCCAGAGAGTGAAAGTGACTATATATACCCGATGGTAGAATTGAAGAAAACCTTAGCTAACTGGTGATAAGTGCAGCACTCCAATTTCTGGATTGGTGGTAGGACCAGAGGGCACTACGGTTTTGGTGCCTGGGAATACTCCAGTGTACATGTATCTGTATGGTTGTTGGGACTCAATATTGATTTGACCCCGTCATAAACAAATAAACCCACCTCTGAACAGCTGACTTCAATGTGCCACGTGTTTCCTTTTCTTGCTTCGAGTCTTCATGTCATGTAAAAAAATCACAATTAATCTGTTAATAACTTAATGAGTCGGAGTTGCATATCATACATGTACATCACAAATCCATTTTTCATCATGACATTTTGTGTAAAGGCCGATTTTTAAAATGAGAGAAAAGAATCAAAGAAATGCATTTACATGCCAACATGGCAATCTGCTACATTCAGATCTGCAACAGTACTGTTATAACGAACTGTCAAATCCGTCAAAACTGGTGACTCGACGAAATATTTTGGTGCCTACCTGCGTATACTAAGTTTCTGTCTACCCCAATGGAGTGATCACTAATCACCGTCACGGATCTCTTGCACTGTGTTTCCAGATACTGTTTTATCTCCTCGGTTCGCGTGCTTTTCCCACTGCAAGGAAACCCGCACACAACGATACACGGCATGATACAAGTCTAAAGGTCCCAGACGGCAGTAACAGAGAAATCCGAAAATACGGAAGTACTTTCGGCACACCTTCGAGAATTTACATCTTCGAGGAGGAAATGCGCGGGAAAGAGCAAATCACACTTGTTTTTCGCGCCGTCGACGGGTATGCCGGAGGTACTGGAAGAGGAACTTGAACCAGCTGCAAAAAAGTCGAAGACAATGCCACTTGACAACGTCATTCTCAAGTTCGCTAAACTGACTGAAAATGCCCTCACTCCAACCCGGGGCTCTAAACTCGCCGCAGGATACGATTTGTATAGGTAAACACAGCTAGATCCAAAGATCTTTGGTAGAATCATTTTTTCCACCAGATTTGAAAAATGGAGCATTTGGTAATTCTAATGGAATTTCAAAATTTCGGTGCACTGGTGCTGGACCTAATTAGTCAATTAGGAGTTGTATTTGTTGTACTATACTCTATAGTGAAACCTTTTACTAATGCTGTTATTAAATATATAGGCCTACACTTGTGTCAAGCGCCTGTGGGTGGATAACCCCTGAATCTCCCAATGGGGGTCATGACCCCCATTATGAAATTCTGTGAGGGGTGATAACGCCCGACAAAAAAAATCACGTCAGAATTAATCATTTATTATTGTCACGGCATAACATATGTTGTGTCTTCTGGTAGGATTTAGGACCTTTTTTTCAATAATAAATAGATATATAATAAATAAATAAAACAAATCTTTTCACACATTTTGTTTTATTACATTCTCTCTTTTCAATATACTTTTGATACAGGTAGTTTGAGTTAATTGTAGAAAACTTTGCATCTTTCATCATTGATGCATACTGGGAGCATGGACTCATCTAGAAGCTCCTATATCTATTTCTCTCTCTCATCTTTATGTACTACATTAACAATCTGACTGCCTGCAGGTTGGAAACTGGAAAAAATAAAATATGCATTTAATCATTATGTTAAATACAGGTATTTATAATATTGGTATAACATCTTGGTACACTCAAATTTGTGAGACTGCAACAAATCTTAAAGCAATCTTGCGATCGATATCGGGAAGCATTATCATGCAGATTTTGGTAAATTGAAATAATCATGATCTGTCGTTGAGAAAGTAATTAATGTGCTCAGAATTTAAGCTACTAAATAACGACTTTGCGTTTATAACCTTGTCGTCACATTTCGTGAAAATCCTTCATCGTATGTCTGTTGATGTAATAAAGAGCACCCGAACCTACCGAAAGATTTTAAGTATACAGTATAGTACAGTTTACAATAAGAATGATCAATCGGACTCAATTTTTGTTTTATGAAGCCACTCAAAATCATTTTTCCACAAAGTATATTGTAATAGCAGACATACTTATCATTTTTTCTAACGTTTGACGCAGTCCGCATTACGGTTGTGCATGTGAAATGAAAGTACTACGATCAGGATTCCATGCACTGTTGTAATACTGTAGTAAACAGTACTCACCTTTCAAATTTGCCTGGCTTCCACGAAATAGAGACCGCCATTGTGAAACCATTTCGAATTGTGTACAGACTTTACCTATACCTGAATGCTAAACCTCCGAGACACACGGATGGAGCACATCCGGAAATAGGGAGATACTAATACGAGCACGGTGGCGGGTGATTCCGGGTCATGTGGACAGAATGCGGGAGATTTGTATGACCCGCGCCGCGCGGGTCATGAGTTGGTTGCGGGTGATAGGCTAATTTTGCGGGTGTGACCTGCAAGATGCAGGTCATTTAGCAGGTATGTCATACGATTACAGCAACATAGATTTCACTCATAAAGAAAAAAACTTACATGATCCTATTAAGTACCATTGTCCCGTAGTGCCAATATTAATTTAATACCCGGCCTATAAATCGTCTCGTCGTCAGAAGCTACGTTATTGCAGTCAGGTCCTATGTCAACCTCGGTAGATAAGAATTTGTCGAGAGATCCAGAGTACAGTGGAACCAGCTCATTTTTAATGATATTTTATTTGCCAAAGAAAAATGTTGGAAAAATAATCGACACGGACTGCAAGCGACCATCATTAATTATTTAATCCAACATTTTCTCCCCCTCATTTAATATATATTCCACCGTAATACACATACATTGATTATTCTTAATTAACCTGACACTGAAATTAAGAGGTAAAAAGAATGAAATGTTTTTTGGGGAAAAAAGTGTTACGAAAAATTTCTTTTTAAGGACATTCCAATATGGCTGCCACACCAAACTGTATATCAAATTCAATAATGCTTTCCGTTTGTAGCATTAAACAATCCCTGTCACAAAAGAATCATCCTCCAATTTTACTCAAACATAATTGAGGTACATGCACACTACATTTCAGAAAAAAACATTCAATAACTGATGAAAAAACTCACTTTTTATATATGTTCATTTTCCAAGCTAAATAAAAGTCACAATTCAGGAAAAAACCATTTAAACTTGTAAATATCATAAGGTTGGATGTCCATGGCGATGTATTTGTCGAGAAAAATGTGAGAAAATGCTTCCAGATCTCGAGAATGATGACATGTATTTTGATTGGCTATTTTACAAAAATTCATCAAGCTAACAAGACTTTTGATACAAGTCAAGCCATATTACCCGAGTGAGAACCTGTAGTGAATGGTGTACAGGTAAAATCTCACTTGCTTTGCATGCTTTTTTCCAGCCTCAGTCAACCTTGTTCGCTTTGTGCTCACTTGTGATTTATTCAGGGGAAATATATGCCATTATTCTGGAGATTGGACACATTTTCTTACAATTTTCTCGACAAATGCATCGCCATGGACCTTATGATATCAATTTACATGTTTAAATGTTTTTCTTTTCCTGAATTGTCATTATCATTCTTCCTCTTCCCGAATGGTGTGACCTCAAAGTAGCGTGTTAAAAGATTATGCCATGGACTACTAATACATTTGTATTTGCTACAGTTAAAGTCTACATGTATCTGATGTGTCTACTTTTCAGTGCATACAACCATATAATCCCTGCTAGAGGCAAGCAGGTGGTGAAGACAGACATCCAGATCGCCCTGCCAGATGGTTGCTACGGTCGTGTAGGTCAGTATCATCACAAGGTCCAGCCTATTATTGTTCCGTTTTTGTACGCCTGTCAAAACTTTTGACGCCAGGATGTAAAATGGTATGGGGAGTGTCTGTCCACACTTTCGTTTTCGCAGTTTAACTTGCTTAAATTTCATTCAATTTTAATGAAAATGGCTAGTTCAAAGTGGAGCAAAATCTGCGCATAATGATTAAGCGTAATGTTCTCCGATTCGTCAATTTCCATACTTCAGTTTCCACAAGATAACTTACATCACTATCATTTAGTTTTTATGAAAATGTGTAAGCTAGTATGATATACCGTGTAAGCTAGTATATATGATATACCTTGCGTGAGGCTAAGTTTGAACAAAACATTTGCTTTATTAATTAGCATACTTTGCTCTGATTGGTTGAAGGTTTCTGCACAACAACTTTGTCAAATATGACAAGATCCTATTACCTAGTGTGAATTTGTCAATAGTTACACTCAGTCTAATAGTGAAATCTGCTTGTAATTAATAAGTCTAATAGTGAAATCTGCTTGTAATTAATAAGTCTAATAGTGAAATCTGCTTGTAATTAATAAGTCTAATAGTGAAATCTGCTTGTAATTAATAAGTCTAATAGTGAAATCTGCTTGTAATTAATAAGTCTAATAGTGAAATCTGCTTGTAATTAATAAGTCTAATAGTGAAATCTGCTTGTAATTAATAAGTCTAATAGTGAAATCTGCTTGTAATTAATAAGTCTAATAGTGAAATCTGCTTGTAATTAATAAGTCTAATAGTGAAATCTGCTTGTAATTAATAAGTCTAATAGTGAAATCTGCTTGTAATTAATAAGTCTAATAGTGAAATCTGCTTGTAATTAATAAGTCTAATAGTGAAATCTGCTTGTAATTAATAAGTCTAATAGTGAAATCTGCTTGTAATTAATAAGTCTAATAGTGAAATCTGCTTGTAATTAATAAGTCTAATAGTGAAATCTGCTTGTAATTAATAAGTCTAATAGTGAAATCTGCTTGTAATTAATAAGTCTAATAGTGAAATCTGCTTGTAATTAATAAGTCTAATAGTGAAATCTGCTTGTAATTAATAAGTCTAATAGTGAAATCTGCTTGTAATTAATAAGTCTAATAGTGAAATCTGCTTGTAATTAATAAGTCTAATAGTGAAATCTGCTTGTAATTAATAAGTCTAAAAGTGAAATCTGCTTGTCATTATTAAGTCTAAAAGTGAAATCTGCTTGTAGTTATTAAGCTATTAGAATTGTCTTTTGTTAACCGGTTTTTAATGGTGCAAGGTTATAATTTTATTAATGGGCTATTGACAAATGGGGGTAATTTCAGTTTCTATTTTCATGGCCGCAGTTTTCTCTTTGAGTAGTTCACCAAAAAACCACGTTACTCATGATTTTATTCAAATTAATAAGTTCTCTTTTATATTTTAAAATTCATAAATGGCGGTGTTTTATGCACCTGTCTCTCTGTTTGCAAATATTTTAAGCAGTTTTTAATTTTCAATTTCTGTGCCGTTAGCCAATCACCAGTTAGTCCTAGCAGGAGGAAACAGCTGTATGATGCAGTGTAAATAATATTTTGGCATACAGTTTCTATCACCAAATTTTCAATGTGCAATCGTATATGTGTGTGTTAGGTTTATGGACAGGGGAAGCAATTCCTATACAAATCGATTCTTTTAAAGGATGAATGAAATATATATAAATTATTCCTTCAGCTTGAGTTACTGAAGTCCAGTCTCCTGACACCACATCAACGGACTATATTGCTCAACTTTACTAAGTCATATGGCACAAATGTAGTTAAACTGTTACTTCTCTACGTTTCCATATTTTCATAAATTTAGATACAATAATGTGTCAGGATTCCAAGTGTCGGTAATATTTGAGATCAGGCAAAAAAAACAACTTGTGTTTCTGCTATCATCCTCAGGAAAAATAGGGTAGGTAGGTAGGCATTTTGTTTTTACTATGCTTTAATATATAGAGCAGGAATTCTGACTTTTAACATATCACTAAGTGCCAATAAAAGTTTAGAGTAGGCACAAAAATGTTTCTACTTGGTGATCAGTTTATATCAAGACTATGTACATGTATTGTTATCCTTTATAGTGCAGTGTTTTGTTTTGCTATTGGATTTTACCATTTTTGTTTATTTTCAGCCCCAAGGTCTGGCCTAGCAGCTAAACACTTCATAGATGTAGGAGGTTAGTATTCAGGGAGTTTCCTACAATAGAATTTGGGGCAGAATAAAGGCCCCTTTCCCCTCGGAAAATTCCCAATTTGCCATTGAAAAATTCCCAACCATTTTTGCAAGATTTAAATATGCTCAGTGTGGAGAGGGAAGATGTGAAAACATTCGTGTCAGTAAAAAAAAAAGTAAAAATATATTTTAATCCCTTGAAAATTAAATTTCAAAAGTATACATCAGAATGTTGTCAAGTTATTTCTGTTGCATTGATGTTGTAAAACTTTGCTATTTTTGTCTCGCCTGTGTGATCAAAGTTGGAGTAAAACAAATTTATAACATGTATGTATAACTCGAAAAAGTGTTACTAACCGTCAAAGTACCAATCTTTGTAACTAAATTCAGTATCTTTTATTTAACAAAAGAATCTTGGTATAAAAAAAAAAGTTTATCTGTCCAAAAAGTCGGCAGTATTACAACTACCGTATATATTTGAGATAGTATATTAAAATAGTAAAAATACATTATGGCTATCAGAATTTTACAACCCTATACTAGATGTACTAGAGTTTAACTGTACACTAGACCTAAGCTTATGCATTGAAAACTAAATAAGAAATTCCAATATCAAAGAATGAAGTTTCTCCTGATCAGAAGTAAAATTTATAAACAGAAACTGAAAAATGTATGAAATTTTATTTCCCCTCATTTTTCCCCAATTTCAAATTTTACCATGTAAAAATTCCCAATTCATTGGACCCTGGACCCGGGAAAAAAATAGTAGGAAAATCCCTGGTATTGTAACTACCAAACACTACTTGTCAATAACTTTGTTAACTTCATTTTTAGCTCACCTGGCACAAAGTGCCAAGTGAGCTTCTGCCGTGGCGCGTCGTCCATCGTCAATATTTTCCTTTAAACGACTTCTTCTTAATAACTGAAAGGCCTAGGTTGATGATATTTGGCCAGAAGCAAACTGGGATGAAGGTCTACAAAGTTTGTTAAAATTAATGACCTTCACCCATTTTCAAGGTCACAGGGGTCAAATATGTTAAAATCTTTAAACAACTTCTGAATAACCAAAATGCCCAGGGTGATGATATTTGGCCAGTAGCATGCTGAGATGAAGGGCTACAAAGTTTGTTCAAATGAATGATCTTCACACATATTCAAGGTCACAGGGGTCAAATATGTTAAACACTTTGAACAACTTCTTCTGAATAACCAAAATGCCCAGGGTAATGATATTTTGCCAGTAGCGTGCTGCGATAAAGGGCTACAAAGTTTGTTCAAATAAATGACCTTCACCTTTATTCAAGGTCACAGGGTCAAATATGTTAAAAACTTCTTCTCAATAATCAAAATGCACAGGGTGATGATATTTGGCCAGTACACGCATGCTGGGGTAAAGGGCTATCAAGTTTGTTCAAATGAATTACCTTCACCCATATTCAAGGTCACAGGGGTCAAATATGTTAAAAACTTTCAAACAACTTCTTCTGAATAACCAAAATGCCCAGGGTGATGATATTTAGTCAGTAGCATGCTAGGATCAAGGGCTAACAAGTTTGTTTAAATGTATGACCTCGAATCATATTCAAGGTCACAAGGAGCAAATATGTTCAAAACTATTTAAACAACTTGTTCTGAATAACCAAAAGGCTCAGGATGTTGATATTTAGTCAATAGCATGCTGGGATCAAGGACTACTATGTTTGTTAAAGTGAATGACTTTGACTTATATTCAAGGTCAAAGGTGTCAAATTTGTTTAAAATCTTTAAACGACCTCTTCTGAATAACCATGTGTCCCAGGATGTTGATACTTTGCAAGTTGCATCCTGAGATGAAAGGCTATAAAATTTGTTCAACATAATGACTTTGTTCGACTTTAAAGGTCACAGGGATAAAATGTTTAAAAAAAATAATAACAGGGTCTTTTGAATGAATTTTAATCATAAATACTGATATTTTGCCTGTAGCTTTATTTTAGATCACGTTTAAGGTTACAAGTGTGAGATTTATACCAGGTGAGCGATGCAGGCCCATTGGGCCTCTTGTTAATCATTCACATAATTTGGCTTTAAAGAGTTATTAAAAATAAAAAATTTGTGTAATTTGAGTTAGTTGTGAGTAACATGTACTTTGATACATCAATGTGATTTTGTTGTTTGAACAGCCGGTGTTATAGACCAAGATTATCGTGGAAATGTAGGCGTCGTCCTGTTCAACTTCGGCGAGAAAGAATTTGAAGGTTTGTAGTTCCTATCTTCATCGTGTTTATTTCTGAGTTAATAAATGGCTAACTTACTAAGATTATAAGACTGTCCCGGGGTGTAGGATAGGGAAATTCCACCCAAGGGGTTTTGCCAAATTTGAAAATCCCAAGGGTGGAATTTTCCTATCCTACACCCTTGAGCATGAAAGATTATTCCAACTACCAGAATAAGCTCAGAAACCTTGGAAATGCGTGTAGACTAGCTACCATTTTGAAAAATATCAATTTTTTCCCCCCTGAACTGTTTTTTGACGAAAACGAATTTGCAAGCGCTATTTAGCATACCCCATTAGCAAGCAGAGTTTGAGCAGAAAAAATAATCTCATCTTTCTAACATGTATGGTAAATATATTGTAAAAGGTTTAATTTCATTATGTTGCCTTTTCAGCATAGCGGCATTAGTGTTTTCGAAATTTGTGACTTCACGTCATTGTGGGGTGTAAGATAAAAATTTCCTACACCCCTTTCTTACCCTGAACAGCTCTATCTTACACACACGGAAATGATAGAAAAATATTATACAGGGGGAAAAAATGATGTTTTCGGATACGCTAGAGAGACTAATGTGGTAGGACAAATATCAGATAAGTGGGGGTAAGATACCAGGACAACTGTATGATTATATTTAAACAAAATATATCTGCCATGTTTTCTTCAAGTATATAGAGTAAAATTCTCATTTAATCCTATTAATACATTAACCCTTTCACCACTGTACACCATAATGGACTCGCCCAGATTATTGCATGGTAGAGTCTACTAAAATTACATAGGGGTGAAAGGGTTAAGGTACAGTCAGACCTGTATTAAAAGACTGCCCAAGTAGTGGTCTCTTAACACAGGGGGTCTCTTTATACAGGTTTAATTCACAAAGAAATCACCACTTAAAGTGCTCTAGCGCCAAAAGAATGTGTTTCCAGTTTCCCCATCAACCCTAGATTTTTGTGTCTCCCCTAAAGTTTTTGTTGGCATATAGTGATGAGCACTGTAAAAGTCAGAACTCCAGTCTATATAAGCAAAGTAAAAATATTTAAAAAAACAAACTTGTTTACCTACAGACCCTGATTAGTCATTGTGTGCCGTCCGTAAACTTTCAACATTTTAAACTTCTTCTCAAGTTCCACCAGTGGGATTGAGCTGAAACTTGCCTGAAATGATCCTGAGATGGTCCTGACCAAGTGTTGTTAATTTTCGGGTCGGTCCAAAATCCAAGATGGCCGCCATCTTGAAAAACACATTTTAAACTTCCTCTCAAATTCCACTGTTGCCAATGAGCTAAAATAATGGTAGGGATGTTAAGGAAGGAAGCCGACAAAGTGTTGTTATTTTTCAGTCCGGTCAAAACTTCCAACATGACGGCCATGATGGCCATTTTGTAACATGATTGAGCAATCATGGTTTTCCTAAACAATACCTATTTTAAACTTCTTCCCAAGTTCAACCAGTAGGATTGAGCTGAAATGGTCCTGACCAAGTGTTGTTATTTTTCGATCGGTGCAAAATCCAAGATGGCCACCATGACCGCCATCTTGAAAATCACATTTTCAACTTCTTCTCAACTTCCACCAGTGGGATTGGGAATATTTCATTGAGAAATAAAACGCGTATATTTTATTTTTGAGGTTTCAGAGGTGGACAACTATGCAATAGGGGTAACCCGATAGTCTGAGACTAGTGAATTTCCAGCTGAATAAGTGGTTCAAACCACTAGCCCGATTGACCAGTCAACATTTGATATTGCCTATCTTGTTGAATAATTAATTTGTATTTGGTTAGTGGAATTTGACATGACTAGATATTGAAGTAAAACTTGCAAACTTCTCCCCCAATAAGGTGTATTTCTACCTCGATAAGGTGTATTTCTACCCCAATAAGGTGTATTTCTCCCCCAATAAGGTGTATTTCTACCCCAATAAGGTGTACTTCTACCCCTATAAGGTGTATTTCTACCCCCAATAAGGTGTATTCAAAACTAATTTCTAGCCCTGATTTGTTTGTTTACAGTGAAGAAAGGTGAGCGGATTGCCCAGCTGATCTGTGAGAGGATATACATTCCCGAGTTAGATGAGTGCGAGGTACTGGGGCGTGCTCTTTATGTTGTATTCACGATAAATGTCCTCGGCTAATCCTTCACTTTGTTAATGTTACTCTCCTGGAATCATGTGCTCAGTATCAAAATGAAAGGGGAATTGTGGTAAAAAAAACCACCCAGTGAAACTGCTTAATACAGTGATACCCTTCATTTTAAGTTAAAAGATTAGAAGAAAAGATGGTTTGAGATCCTTCTGTAATGCCATGCATTGCTATTCCTACATGGTATTATAAATACCATGCTCCTGTTTTTGGTGATAATTTTTGTATATTTTGGCTTCAGGACCTAGATGACACAGATCGTGGTTCTAGTGGATATGGATCAACAGGACAAAAGTAGGGACCACCAAGGAACAAGTCTGATGTTTAGTGAAGGTACATGGAAGATAGGATCAAAACAATAAACAAAATACAATGCAAGTACGAATTAATGAAAAGTGAATGAACCTTGATTGAAAACCAGAACTTGCTGTGGAGAAAACTGCTAGCGACACAACTACGCCAACCAATCCTTGTGTATTTTGATTATTTGTCTCATGTCTGTTATACTGTTGGATGGATCAGCCATCAAACCACCTGACTGAACTTTATCATCATTTGGTGTTGCCCTTTTTTTGCACACTTTTTGTGCAGGGTGGTTAGATTTTTGTGGGTCAAATTTTGGCATTTGACATTATGTGTGCTCAATTTTGGTGCTTTTCAAGGTGTGGGTTCATCAGTCCATAGCGTTACGGTACTAAGTTGTGCTGGTAAGTCATTAGTCCATAGCGTAACAGTACCAAGTTGTGCTGGTAAATGACGGGGCTTGTAATTTAATAGACTTTGTTTACAATAAATAATCAATTTAAGGTTGCGTCTGGCTGTACATGGGACCACATGTTTATAAGATCGCTATACCTGACAATACACAACTGATACAGCTATGTATATAAAAACACTGAAAAGTTACGACACCTTTAGATGAAAACATCCCTTTATTGAGGTGATGTTTATGAAGTAAGTAATTTCAGGTCTGCCGTTATCCAGATGTTTCGATGATACATGTATATGGGCATTGTGAACTTCCAGTGTTTAATTTTGTTTGTTGAAACGTGAATATGAATAGATCATGCAATTAAAATAATATAAATCGGTGATAATCTCTAAATAAAGTGAATCTCTAAACAACTTGATACCAGTTGGTTGTACAAGCTTCAGCTGGTTACCGTTCATTGCTGCTCAAGACGCTCAAACAAATTAGCATTCTTTTAGATTTATCTGGCCATTTAGAACAAATACATTGATTTGCTTACCAGGTGCCATATTTCGCCTTGAACAAGCCAAAAATTCTCTGGCTGCTTTGAACAAATTTGCCCTTGCTTACCAGGTGCAATATTTTTGCCTTCTTGTTCAAGTAGGACATTTTTTCTTAGTCGATATTATGTTCTTCATTATTATGTAATATTTTGTGTTATAACTTGCATTAGTTGTTGTGTTATGCTCAACTCTTGGAAAGTTTACCACCATCATGTGTTCAACGATATTGTACAGGGACCATTGTGTCTGCTAAATGTAGTAGTGGGGAACCCCCACATGTTTTATTATATGCTAAATATAGCTATGGGGACCATATTAAATGTGCTAAAAATAGTAATACAGGGAACCCCAGTGTGTTCGTTTTTATGAAAATAAGGATTTGTGTTCATGTTTACTATTAACAATGTTCGTACATTTCATATTAAATGACCAATGGCCAAACAGACATGTTTTTGTGATTTAACTTTTGGCTTATAAATAGGAAATTAAAGTAGACAACTTATTTTGGGAAGTAATTTTAAAAAGATATATATAAAGAACTGATTTTCTTTTACCTGATATTTGAAATAAGTGAAAAAGAAAAATACATTAAATAATGTAAAGTAAACTTTACACATTAGCCATAGAAAATTCCTGATCAAAGGGAGGTAACTCAAAACATTTTTAAAGGATTTTATGTGATGTTTTTGTTTTTTGCTTAGGAACTTATTCAATAGGGGCTGTAGATATATGTACCCTCCCTGGACAGCTGTTAGAAGAAAAAAAATCTTTATTCTCAAATTTAAAAATAATACAATGCAAATAGGAAATATCAAATATATTTTTACTCTATTCCATTTCTATATTCCAAATTTCTGTGACTATGTAAATTGGTAACAACCACAGTTTCGTATTATGCCTCTTTATCAAACAGCTTGCTACAGAATTAGGGAGACGACCATTATCAGTTTGTATCCGATTCCAAAGTTTCGTATTTGTAGAAACTTGTGTTATTAACTTGTCAGACAACATTGCAGCCATCAGTCTGTACTGTAGGAGTCGTGACGTGAGGGGAATCCCAAAACGATTTAATACAACTTTACCAAAATATACCGGGTCACAACTGAAATCTAGACACAAGGGAAAGCAGAACCTTAAAATGTTCTCTGTATATCTTAACTCCTTCACCCCTAATGACACATTTGAACCATTCCAATTCAAAGGTTGGAATAGTCCATCATGAAATTTCAGGGGTGAATAAGTTAACGTGGATGGAAATGAGAGACAGTTTAGAATTGTATGCATATTACAAAGCAGAATGTTTCAAATTATTATGTATGGCATATGTATGTAGTGATGATGAAGTTGTTAATCACAATAAAATTGTGGAGTTATCTTTGGCATTCATGTACAGATATTAGCCAGCTGCCATCGGTGATGTGCTCATTGTAGTTTCGACACTGATTAGTATAGTTGTTCATTTTTGCATTTTAGTAATATAATGTTGTCACTCATAGGGACATTGTCAACTTTCACCGAGACATTGCAATATAATGTTGTCACTAATCGAGTCCAGGTATTCTGTCAACACCCTTTTGGGTTTTTGTTCTGGTCATTTATTAAATAAATGTCGTGTATTACACTGGTGTATGTGTGTTTTTTACTGTCAAAAGATTTCTGCTTCATCACTGAAAACCTACAGGTAATTTCTGCAAAAGTGGACTTCATGGTGACCAATATAGAAATTCGGGTGTGTTTTTTGCATTTAATGTATTAGCACAGAAACATCCATAGGCAAATATTATAGATTATGGATATATAGATCAACAGATTTCAAAACCATTGCACACACGAAAATTTCCATAATTCGTTCAGTTAACCCTGTCATCCCTATGTAACTTTTAGTAAACACTACCATGCATTGATCTAGATGAGTCCATTATGGTCTACAGCGGTGAAAGGGTTAAAAGTCGCAATACATTGTAAATAAAGATGAAATCCATACAGAATAAATAAGGAAGTCTTGACACTGTGACTAAATGTATAGTTTATTGACAATACAGAAAGGCAAGATACACCACTGTTGTACAACCATCTAAACAATACTGGGCCCCATTGCTGTTTACTAGGCCCCGATGCTGCACATCTGTCGTTAAAAATGTACATCAAGAAGGTGATGTATTTGGTCCAGATGTATGTCACAATGCCCGTCGCTGAGAGCTTTGTGCCTTGGCCCTGATAATGTACAGTGCGACGGTATCAAACCTTGGCCCTGATACTGTACATACAGTGCGACAGGATCAAACCTTGTCATACTTGGGGCCCAAACATTGGCCCTGATACTGTACATTTTTGACAAATATCAAATCTAAGCCAAAATAATGTAAGTTTGTAATAAATAATGCCACATGTGTGCCATGGCTCTGTACATGTTAATATGAAACCTGGGCCCCAACAATGTACATTTATCACCAGGCCAGGTTCCTGTGTTTGACAATGCGGGCCATCAAAGGCCTGAAGTTTGAAAGTGAAATGTACCTTGCCAGTGTAACACCAAATATAAAGCTTTAAATAACAAAAACTGCCCACCACTCACTACTGTACTACCGACCACACCTCATAGAAACCACAGCCTACTTGTTGTCTGGATTGCCGCAGTCTTTGAAAATCTGTATGTTCTTGATTACCCATATCTTAAACAAAGGTAAGTAAAATTATTTTTCTTATTTATAAAAAAAGATGTTATTTTACTTCATTGCTTCCAAACCAAACCAAAAAGTACAAAAATAAATACGATTTTCAAAGAAATGTTTACTGAATGTTCCTCCGTTCATTAAAACAATATTGTTAAAATCCAAAAAACAAGTTTTCAATTTGATGTGGCTGAAATTACAAAGATTTTTTTCAAAACAGCAATTAAACAACTTGAATTTACTTCACTGACAATGATGTAAGCTTGTTAACTCGTGTTCGACACTTTAATATAGAATATATTCCTGATCTGTGTGTGAAAATACTGAATTTGACTTCTGCAAACTTTTTCCAAGTTTCATTAGCATGCAGACTTTTCACTGTATCCAATACAGCAGACAGTATGACGCTCCTCAACTACCATCCAAGTATTCAATTACTATTAAAAAAATATCTTTTGATGTATTTTCTGAAGATAAATTTTGTGTGGTTATTAATGCTTGAATTTACTTCAGTATGAAAGAAGAAAAGTAATTTTGTTAGTTTTAAAGATGAGAATTTAAACTACTCTTAGGCATTTAACATTGCTAAGTGTATAAAACAAGTAAGAAAGAGTATTATTTCCTTAGAAGCAGGGCAGGCCTTCAGGTTTACACGCCTATGGAAATCTCCTGTTCTGTATCACGACAGAGATAAACGAAAAGCCACTCTGATAGAGGCCTGGGTAAAACACAGTCCTTTAAAAAGTTAATTCAATAAACAATTAGAGAAAAAAAAATTCCAGAATTATACACATTAAACATCTTAAGGACTCATATTACAAAGCTAAAACATTCTGATGATGCAGATTACAATGTTAAAACATCCTTGTGACACAGATTATATGTAAAAAGTCTAATGATATTAGTTCTGGAAAGCTTTATTTGGCTGCATTGCCTACCCATTCAACCCTAAATATACGCATTGGACCAGGCTATGGTCACTTTGGACCAGTCTATGGTGGCCTTTGGGGAATAACACAAATATAATCACATTAATGTATATAATATAAAGCCAGCTTATTTCCATAAAAATCAATTAAAAAATTGCACAAATTCACTGAAATTCATTCAAAAGCACAACATACTTGGAAACAACTACTAGTGACTAGTAAATAAGTGAGTAAATAGCGGCGGGTTAACTTACTACTGGCTAGAGATGGAACATGTTACTGGCCAGACACGACACCTACATCCTCCCTGGTCAACAGATCTAGTCTTGTCCCTGACAACAGAGATGAAACATCTCTGGACACAAACAAAGATGAAATATCCCCGTCTCTGACCATAAAGCAGGAACAAGATTTGTTCCCGGCCACAGAGACAAGACACCTTATCACTAGCCCCTGAATGATATCGGTCCCTTTTCTGGCCACAGACATGGTAAGCCTCCTTAAGAGGCAGATTAATACCACACGCCTCTAGGGCCACAAAACCTGCCTTTCTCTCAGCCACATGACGCTTTTTCTCACACTTGCCAGCATCTATCGCACAAGTCATGATAAATCCTATGTGGCATTATATGACAATATAGGTACAGTGCCACAGAGCCTATTCTGTCACACTCAGGTATAGTGCCACAGTGCCTATTCTGTCACACTCAGGTATAGTGCCACAGTGCCTATTCTGTCACACTCGGGTATAGTGCCACAGAGCCTATTCTGGCACACCCACAGGTATAGTGCCACAGAGCCTATTCTGTCACACCCACAGGAATAGTGCCACAGTGCCTTTTCTGGCACACCCACAGGTATAGTGCCACAGAGCCTATTTTGTCACACCCACAGGTATAGTGCCACCTAGCCTATTCTGTCACACCCACAGGAATAGTGCCACAGAGCCTATTCTGGCACACCCACAGGTATAGTGCCACCTAGCCTATTCTGTCACACCCACAGGAATAGTGCCACAGAGCCTATTCTGGCACACCCACAGGAATAGTGCCACAAAGAGCTGATTACATCCTTACAACACATGATACAGACTATACTAGAGATCCCTGTTAGTCTATTGTCAGACAATCTGTTAGCTCTCTCACTCAAATCTACATTTCGTTTACAGAACGTATACGAAATGTCACAATACCACTGAACTTGTTAATCTGGAAACTTGTTGAAACCATAGAATTTGGTCACAGTAAACACAAATGGTCAGATTAACAGGGTTCCCCAGTACATAGTAACTAAAAACTAAACTGTAGTACAATTTATTATGCTACAAGCTTTTCCCTGAATTTCGATGTCAATGAAATATTGTTGAAAGAAAATACATTTTTGCATACACATTAAATAAAAAAGCAGCCCTTTGTACTGTTAAAATTTTAAATACAATCTTTCATGTAAAAAATTACCATCACACATCACAATATAAACTACACTTGTTAATGAGGTCATGTGACTTGTCAAAAACACTCCCTCACTTGTCATGTGACTTATTCACTCTCACACTCAAATCCTGTGACAAGGCCATGTGACCATGATTGTATATAACAAACTATATAATACATTAATAGCACAATAATAGCACATAATCATATCTTACAAATCTTAAGTCAAAAGGCATAAAAATATAATAGCACACATGATTGTTGACCTCTGACCTCCAACCTTTAGTTACTGACCTCTAAATGTGTAACCTTAAAAAAAAACCATGGCAGAACACCACCAGCATTGCTATAGTAACCGGCTACAGAGAGTTTAGCAAAAAGGATTGCAACTTTGTACAACATTATATGTGCCGTGATGGCCATATCAATTATTTTGTGTGTAGCGACCATTAGCATTGCAAAGATGATCAGCAATATCAATTTGTGCGGTGACGGGTTGACAGGAGATTTCTGTGCCCCGACACGCTACTCTGGTAAACGTACACTGTGGTGCCTAGCTACTCACTGTACAATCTCTAGGTTGCTGTTATTGGTATCCACCTTACTAAGCACTGGGTCGACAGATGAACGTACACTGTGGTGCCTAGCTACTCACTGTACAATCTCTAGGGTGCTGTTATTGGTACTCACCTAGTACGAATTATTCTGACGTAAATCGACAACAGACCGATATTAAAAAAGTCGATAAAACGTCAGAATAATTCGAACTAGTATTCACCTTACTAAGCACTGGGTCACCAGATGAAGCTGTTCCTGTTACTGTTTCCTGGGTCGCCATTACACCCGCAGTAGGCCAGCCCTGCAAACCATTATAGTCCTGAGATTATGAATTGACTTTTGACCTCGACCTTTGTCTTTCCTGAGGTTTGACCTTGACCACTTAACCAACCAATTAATATCAACCAGCCCTGAGTTTTTAACCTCTTGAACTTTGCACCGACTCACAGCCATTTAATATTAAAGCAATAAATGACCTGATTTAACACGTCCGTACAGTTAAAGCCTACAATTTCTACATCCGTACAGTTGAAGCCTACAACCTCTA